GCCGTGCGGTTCCCCACTGTCCTAGCGCGTGCCCGTCGGAGGCCCGTCCCTCCTTCCGTCCACGGCACAAAGCCGCGTCCCTCCGGAAGGCCTGGCCCCACCCCGGAGGGACCCTCCTCCTGTTTTGTTCCCAACTCTGGGCAGCCGGGCACCAGGCCTGCCCAGGTCACGTTGTGTGGCCGGCACCCCGTCGCAGAGAGGGGCTGGCCCACACATGCCGGGCCCCCACTCCGGGTGGCCTGGGAACCGGGTCCAGAGACCGCTCGATGTCCCCTTGCTTGGTGCTCTGCTGTTCTGGCATTTCGGTGTCCGCCCCTCCCTCCTGGAACCCGCCAGAATGTTCTGGCTGATTGGCAGCCGTGAGGACGGTGTCACTGTCTCAGGCACACCAGAGGGTGACAAGCTAATATTGTTTCTGAACCTGTGACCTCACGCCCGCCCGGCACTTGGTCCGTGGGCGGCCGACTGACCCATAGGAGCCCTCTGCGTCTGGGCCCTGTCCCTGTCAGGAAAGTGTTCTTTCTAGAAAGGGGCCCTGCACCTCCTCTTTGGGAGTTCGGGGGGGCGCCGGGCCAGCCGCAGCCTCGTCACATACCGCTGGGAGGTGACTCCGGCCTGGCCACATCGTAGTGACTCCCAGAGTTCCCCGCCCGCCCCCTGGAGTGGGCACAGAAGACAATCGTGCGGGCAGATGCCCTGTGTCCCCACGGCACCAGATTCAGGGGCAGGACCATTGTCTCCACGCAAATGGGCGCTTTCTGCAAATGCTGACGGGTGGGCGGGGCACGGGGGAGGCACGTCCCCTCCGCTGGACGCCCCGCGATGTGTCCATTCAGCTCTCCTCGTGTTCCTGGGGCCGCAGTGACACCTCGGAAGGCCAATGCCAGCGTGGAACGCTCCGCTCAGGCACGGGGAGGTGGCCTTCCTGCCAACCCCAGGAGTCACCCCGCCCCCGAGCCACGGCATCTAGAGCCCGAGCCTTTGGCCACTGGGACCCAGAGCGGTTACCGACGCCCCTGTGTGTGCCTGGCCCAGAGGCCACCCTCCAGTGTCCGACTGATGCCCTCAGGTGGAAAGGCCTGGGGCCCCTCAGCCACGCCGGGTCCCTCTGCCGAGTCCCTCCATCTGAGCCTCACCAGGTGAACTTTCAGGTGTGCGACCAGGGAGCGTTAGGCGGAAGTCACCTCCATTCGAGCACGTGGCGCCTGCATACAGCACCCCCACCGCGCATGTCACCTCCTGCATACAGCCCTCGCCCACGCGTGTCACCTGCTGCATGCAGCCCCCACCCGCACGTGTCACCTGCTGCATACAGCGCCGGCCCGTGCGTGTCACCTGCTGCATACAGCCCCCGCCCGCGCATGTCACCTCCTGCATACAGCCCTCGCCCATGCGTGTCACTTGCTGCATACAGCGCCGGCCCGTGCGTGTCACCTGCTGCATACAGCCCCCGCCCGCGCATGTCACCTGCTGCATGCAGCGCCGGCCCGTGCGTGTCACCTGCTGCATGCAGCGCCGGCCTGCATGCACCAACTCCTGTTTACAATGCCGGGGCCTGAAGTGCCTCTGCCACAGTGGGCTGAGGGGCGAAGGAGCTGGAGACCAGCGGGAACGGGATTCTGCAGACTCGAGACTCCGGGTGCGACCACAGAGAGCGAGGGGGAGGTAGACATGGCCACGGGCCCTTCCCGTTCATCACGAAGCGCGTCAGAGGAATAACAAAGTTCAGGGAATGCGGCGCGGAAGCCCCGTGCGCCCCGGGGGCTGGGGGAGCACAGCCCAGGGCAGTGGCCCTGCGGCGTGGTGGCCCGTGGCAGCTCAGCTCCCACTCCCGTTTGCGTGCTCCTGGGACACGTGTGTTGCTCATAAGCCTTTCAGAGGGTTCAGGGGGGTGTCTGTAGCGAAACCCTCGAGACAGGCCTTGTCACCTCCCGTCGAGGCCGTGAGTGCCGACTTGCATTTCGGGGGCTCCTGCGGACTTCGGATCCCAGGCTGCCGACCCTCCGTGGGCGGGGCCGGCTCTAAGCCCCACCTCCCCTCCCGTTTCTGGCCGCTGTTGCCCTGTGTTTGGGTTCTGCCTTTTCTAATGGTCCTCTCAATCATCCCTCGATGTGGGCGCTGTCGGACACAGCTGAGACTTGCTGGTATTTACCAACAAACGCGTCCATTTTCTGTCTCGCGATTTAGACTTAATTTTCTTCTTCCTGAAGCCTGTGCTTCTTTTAGTGAAGGCCTGTCCATGGCCATCTCAGTTTGTCCAAAATTTTTGTATTTCGCCTTTGCTCTTGGACGATGGTTTCTTTGGAGGAGAACGTTACAGGTGGAGATGTATTTTCTCTGGACGCAGGAGAGGTGTGCCGCCGTGACCCCGCGCTGCAGGGCTAGTGGACAGCCCTTCGAAGGAGACCTTCCCCCCTCTGGTGACGCTAACCGCCGTCTCTGACTTGGCTCGAGCTTGCAGTTGAGTTTAGTTTATCCTGCCGACAATTTGCTGTGATTCCTGAGCCTGGAGTTCGTGCCTTTCATTGGCAGTGGAAGGTCAGCTCCGTCGCCACAAGGATGCTGTCTCCCCTGGCCACTCCCGCTTCTGCTGGGAACTTCTGCCAGGCCGCGTCATCCGTCCTCCAGTCTGCCCCATCTTTGTCCCCCGCGTCACAGCCTAAGTCCTCCTTCCCAGGAAGACCGCCTCGGCTCCCCGTGGCTTCTCCCGACTCTCGCTCGTGGTGCCTCGCTTCCTTGCGGGCCTGTGACTGTGGAGGCTTTTATCTGTGGCGCTCCTGGGTGCCCTGACTAAGGGGACATTGCTCTGGAGATGCTGTCCCTTTGCTTGTTCAGGGTGGCCCAGTGAGCTGATCCAGGTTTGTAGGTATGGGATTCTCTGGACGAGCCGTGCAGTGCAAACCCCAGGTTAATCTGCAAGACCGAGCCTGAGCCTCGCACGACGGGAGGGGACCGGTCACTTAGACGCCAAGACGCCGAACCTCCTCTTTCGTCCGTCTGCCGCTGCAAGGGTTCGCTTTGCTGGCTGGGTGCGCGTCCCCCCTGTACGGCTGGTACAGCCTTCCTAGGGGCCCCAGTGACAGGCAGCGTCTGGTTCCAGTCCCTGCCTCTTTTCCTTGGGGATCCATCGAGTCCCCACTGCGTCCCTCGGGTGGGTGACCTCCTGGGACCACCTGGTATCAAAACCAGGGCGCAGTCTGCCGTGCTGCTGCTCGTCCTTCGCCTTGGGGACTCCCTCCCTGTCACGTGAGCTCAGCAGCCACAGGACATTTGTGCGTCTCAGCAAGCCTGCTGGGGGACTCGCAGAGAGAGTAAGTGGCATCGGGCCCACTTACTCCCCAAAGCTGAAGTCCTTATGAATAGAACTGTCCCCAACAAGGGAAGCCGTGAGCTCCCCACTGGCAGAGGGCTGGGCAGTGACGCTCCGGGTTGATACTTTACTGTGGGAGTCCCTCGAGTCACCTGGAGAGTCTCACTTTTGACACAGCTCCAGAGGCCCACCCGTCAGATTTTGAGCCCAGGGCTGTGGGGCGGCCCAGGGCTGTATGTCTGTAAAAGTCCCCCAGGCCGCCCATGGACTGGCATTGGAGACTCTGAAGGCAAGGTCCAGCACCAGGTTGCGAGGACACCGGGGCAGTGCCAGGTCGGGGTCTCGCCTGGGCCGACGGAACGGTCCTCATCCAGAGCTGGGTCCCAGGTGTCACCCTGGCGTCTGCCCCGCTCCGGTCTCGGGTGTGGCGCTGTCCCAGGCTCTGGAGAGGACTTTTGATTTTACCTTCCGGTGGCCACCCTGGTTGCCACGTGTTAGTCATGCCAGCCTCAGGGGTCTGGGGAAACGGACCTTGCAAGGTCTTGTGGGCTGAGGGCCTGTGGCTCCTTGAGCAGGTGTGGGGGCCATGGTAGGAGGGGAGAAGCTGGACCCGGCTTCTCCAACACGTTATGAGCCCCTGGATCAGAACCTTCTTGTCGGCCCTCCCCGAGCTGCAGTCCCCTCCTTTCTGCCATATTGCTGTATCCCCCTCACTGTCAGGTGGTCCTCGAGAAATATACGGCACCCACACGCACACGAGAAGATGTGGCCTCAGCTTCTACCTCAGGAAACGAGAAGAGGAACAGCAAACCAACCCAGAACGAGTAGAAAGAAGGAGATGTTCAAGGTCAGAGGGGAAACCAATGAAATGCAGCACGGAAAAGCAATAGGAAAAATAATGAAAGCGAAAGCTGATTTTTCAAGATCAATAAAGTTGATAAAACTCTACCCAGATGTAGCAACAGAAAAAGAGAGAAGACACAAATTATCAGTGTCATAAATGAGAAATCTGGCAGTACATATTCCACAGATATTGAAAGGACCACAAGGAAATATTCTATACAATTGTTTAAATTCAGCAACTTAGACGAAATGAGCGAATTTCTGGAAAGACGTAAACTACTCGAGAAATAGATAACAGTTCTATCTCGATTAGTTCGATATAGTTCTATATCAATTAACAAAATCAAAGTTGTAGTTTGAAACATTTTCCCAAAGAATACTCCAGAACTATATTCACTGGAGAATCCTGCCAAACATTTAACAAAAACTAAAATCAATTCTAGACCATATTTTCTAGAAAATTTAAAAGGCAAAATACTTCCAAACTCATTACGAGGCCACCATTATCCTGATGTGAAAACCAGCCAAATACATTATAAGAGAAAGCTATAGCTAAGGATCTCTCCTGAGCATCAATGCAAAAAATTCTAAGCAAAACTGTAGCAACTCAAATCCAACAATATATTAAAAGGATAATCTATTATAACCAGCTGGAATGCAAAGGTAGTTTGACATTTTAAAAAAATATCAGTCAATTGGC